CTCTGAGGGAAGCATCATATCAAGTTCCTCATCGGAGAGAGGGGCGTTTCGAGCAGATATATCAGTTCCAAAACTGGTTGGAATCAAAGGCGCACCTGCTTGAGACGGATGCATTGGCGTCGCGAGTCCTTGATTGCCAACCGGTGTTGCGGCTGCGATTGCTGGAGCTTGATCCCACCTTGATCGCCGTTTGGGAGCCTCTTCGGTGGTGCCAGGCACAGCGGGCGCGGGTGTTTGATCCCATCGCGATCTTTTTGCTTTCGTCTCGGAAGGTTGAGGGGTTTCAGAAACAGCTTCTGTGGGTTCACTAGACACATCCCACCGCTGCTTGCGCTTTCGTCCTGTGGCGACAGAGACTGTCGAACCAGCCTCGGCATTTTCCTTATCCTCTAACTTTAGAGTGGCCTCATGTTCAGTGACACCGTTCTCGCCACTAGCCTGTTTCTCTGCGATCAGCTTCTGGACACGCTCTTCTTCTTTCTCTATTTCACGGAGAGCCATAATTTCACGGTATGTCTGGCCATCTGTCTCCACATTGGCATGAGTGTTCGCCGCAAAGGGATCAGCCCTGGTTGGCGTAAGAGGGCCTCGATTGAATCGACGCTTTTGATAGTCTGTCTCCCGATCCGCAATCCTGGCCGCCTTTTCGCGACCAGTAAGGATATCCTCCTCCTCAACGCCATTTCCATGGGCAAACTCGTCAATCTGATCTTTGGTCGCGGTATACTGGCCAACCAGACGGCGACCGCCGTCCGCGTCTTCCATTTCTTCATCGCCATCAACAGCGATCGACATGTTATAGCCTGCGTATTTATCGGGACCCTCGCGGTCGTACAGAGTGGTATCAAAGGTTTCGGTCAGGGAGGCCTTGGTGGAGTTGTCAGTGCGCTGGCTAGACGAATCAAAGGTCCTAGAACCTTTCTTCCCAGCTGTAGCGGCATTTCGCTCAGCTTGGAGCTTGCGAACAGCTTCGAAATCAGCTGCAGAGGCAATCAGCGCGGCATTTTTGGTTGGGGGCGGAAGAGACCTACCGTCAGACATATTGGCAACTATGAGTAGTCCGCAGACAAGATAGAGAGTAATATATCTCTAGTACAGGTAGCAGCAACTACATTCGGATCAAACACCGCGATAACGGTGTAAGTGAATGCGGTCTTGGAAGCAATTTGCTGATGGCTTGCGATGAGAACGAATTGAGCGCAAAAAGGAAGTCGTTCGGGCCACGCTAGTTTGATGGCTACGGTATGTCATGTGACTTTGAGTGGCGCAAACTCTTACTCGTCACTGAGTAATCCACGGACGCCAAGCCTACCGTTCTTGTTATAGTAGTTTAGCAGTGCCGCCCTAATAATAAAGAGCGCTATCACTGATCATTGCTCGGAAGTCAACATCCTCTCGAACCATGCCCCTTCACACCCTCCCAGAGGAAGTCCTCCAAGAAGTTATTGACAGCCTCCCCTCTCATCAGGATGTCGCCTCGCTTTCTCTGCAATGTCGCCGCATACATCGCCTGTTTGAGATGGCCACAGCGCAAATACCGCCAGGTAAGGCTACAAAACACCTCGGATTTCGCAAAGGCATTTAGGATGTTACTCTTAATGTTAAAGAAACAATAGCTGAATTTATATGTCTGTAATATTTAGCTGAAGTGATCACTAGCATTAGGGTATATATTTGTAGAATCCTCCAAACCACACCCTGCAGAAAGGGCACTAGAGTTAGGTGATCTACACAGGCTCAAAGAAGCCATTAAATAATTGGGTTTTGCGTCAGTGCAAAAGCAGGAGAAGATTTTAAATATACTACTACAGGATCCCGCTATCATGGAGTATGGACACCCTTATTTGCCTTGGCCAATCCATGTTCTCTGTTCCATGGGATCCTGTCATTTCTCTGCATTCTGAACTCTGAATAGTGACAACAACCCGCGATCTCCTCAAGCACTGGCAGCCCTCGTAGACTTGGTTTCGTCTATGCTTATGTTACTTAGCTTCTGCCCCATTGGATATGAGGAGCCCAAGCTCTTAAGATTGGAAGCAAAAGTGGATGGCAAACCACTTCCTATAGCTGATTATATATTCAAGCATTTCCTGGAACAGGCCAGCATACAGGGGAAGAACATGCCGTTCTTATAGAACCTCTGAGCTGTTAGGTTCCTAGTTGATCTGAACACTTGTGTGTATACGTTGTTGTATTATCTACCCTATAACCTATTCATGTCTTAATCTAGTGCGATGTCTGCCAGCAGTGGGATCTATCTGCGTGGATGCTATTACAGACACGGATCTCCCCAGTGTTAAGCCACCACGTTAATCCAGAAATTACACCTGTATCATGATATAACACTCTAGCCTTAGTTATCTGTACCTGGTATATATAATTGAATCAGCTAAGCACTTGGAAAAGTTCATATATGGGATTGGTGGCCACTCCTCATGGAATGGTATGCTGATGACCTTCCATCTAGAGCGCGTCTTTTGGGTGCTTTTTGCTCATCAGGCCTCTCTGTGCCAGCTGGATCTTGTTGTAGAGGGGGAAACTTATCTACTGGACCTTAATAGTCTGTGGTATTCTAAGTATACCCCAGAAGAAGAAGAGCATGAATCAGCCTGGGACAATCCTGTTTACCTGCATAAGTGGGCTGATGAACTTGAGAAGGTTCCTGCAGAGGATGAACAAAGGCCTTCTGATTTGTCTGCGGAAGCTTGCTCTCTTCAGAATTCTTGCAACTGAAGGACCTCAGTCTAGGAGTTCATATTCTTTATCTTTACGCGTGTGGATATGGTAGTATCCAGCTCGATAGTGGATCGTTTTCCCTTGTCGATCACCTGCCGCCGAACCTCGTGTCACTCCGCATATATGGCTATAAGAAGGGAATGAGGCCGCGGCTGAAAGGTTTTTCGCAGAACTCGCTTGAGGACCAGCTTGCCAAGCTGATGGCGGCGAAAGATGAAAAACTCCCACGACTTGCCATTGTTGAGGGTATCGAGGAGCCGATCCCGAATGGCGAGACGATAGAGGGGCCCATGAATAAGATAAGCTTTGGAAGGGGAATACAGACGACGAATGGACGGAGTACGAGTATGCATAAGAGGCATAAGACATAAGGCTTCGGACGAATATGAGTTTCAAGCTCGTGAAGTGTTCCTTGACGCATGATCTAGCTCCTCTAATTGATATTTATGCGACCTATTGCGGAGCTTGCTTGTAAGCAAATGCAGGAAAGACAAGATCCAAAGCACTGGAAATACTACCTGCAGCTTCACGTACACCATTTCTGATGAGCCGACGGAGGCTGCTCGGATTGTGGCCGAATCTGCCCCTCCAGCAACACCGCGGTGAGAATGAGAGAGTAGCTTAGAAGAACTGGGGCAGATATGCCTTGAAAACGAACGATACAAATTATCCCGCATAAAAATTCAAGAAATCCAATAGTATTTATGAGTATGTCGCTGGCTAGCAACATCATATGACTTTAAACCGCAGAGATCTTGGCATCAACTGGATATCCAGTCTGTTTGTCTGTTTAGTTGCTTCGGATACTACGTGTTCCAATCAGGGATATAATAGAGTTGGGAGTCCAAATGATCTAGCGCACTTACTTAGTCTCCTGAGGTTGTTTCCCATCATGGCTGCGAGAAAGGACGCAATGACCGAAGACTGACAGAAGTTCGAGATTCTGAAGCAGACACCGCAAGACTAACTTTGTGGAGGAGTCTGCTAGATTGAAGACGTGAGAGTTGTTCCCAATTCTTTTGCGTCCCTTTGACTGTCAGACTGAATGAAATTTGCAAGAAGTCGAAGATCTAATGAGGCGGCGCTTAACGTTCCGACATAGTTGGTTTTATCCTCGTCGCAACCAACAATGACTATACCACGGCCTCTCGTCTATACTTTGCAATTGGCTCAACATTCCGGTCATTCATTTTATTCAATTGACGTGTAGCATCTATTAAAAGCTATCTTAGACCTCGAGATGTCATGCGCCTTCACTGGTTGGTCAGACTCTATCAGACTTCATATGTTCGAGACACCATGTGCCGTGGGTTTCCCACCCTCAGGATTATGGCGCGGCTAATATTCTAATTCTAGATTGTGCACACAGCCTGGACTCATGCTGTGCTCTGAGTGCCTTCATCGTCCGGGCTTAAGCGATTGAGCTTACGGTAAGCGGTGTATTTCCATTTGGAGGAAGCCCCAAGTTCGCTGTTGAGTTTACGAATGACCTATGGCTTTGCTTCCCCAAGAGGGGCTTTCAGATCTCTCCTCGTGAAAAAGAACTAATTGCAAACGCAACGGCATTGAATTCAGCCCTTATTATGCCTTGCAATGCTCCTTCACAAAGAGACCGGATCAGCGTCACTTGCTACAGCTTTGAAATAGCCAAACAGAGAGCTGCCTCTATCAATCATGTTGGCTACTAAGTTCTTGCTTTGTTGGATGGCAGTGCTGAGCCATGGTTCCTATATCGGAATGAACAGACAAGTGAGCAAATATTTCATTTCTTTTTACATGCGTTCGGATGTCTCCTCGCCTATAATATGCTGTTGAGCACATCGTCCAGAGGATCGCCAGCACAAACATATTGACCATTATCTGCTTGGCTCAACTTGCTGTTCTATTTTCACCATGTATTTCCTGACGTCCATCTCCATTTCCTTGCAATAAACGTGGCGGAGGCCTCTCCTCTTATCTACCGCAATCGAGTCCTAACTGAAGATTTCATAAAGATCACCAAAGCACTCGATGGGATACAAGTTGGAAACTGCATTGACGTCAACCTCACGCTACCACTGTGTGATACGGAACCAGCTTTGCCTGCGCCGTCGAACGGATTGAAGCTGAAATTCGTGGCGCTTGGTCGGGGTACTCAGAACTACACCTGTCTGTCATCTGATGGATCTGCTTCTCCGGTCGCAGTTGGCGCTGTTGCGACACTATTCGACGCATCCTGTCTTGTCTCACATAGTCCGACAATACTCCATGAGCTGCCATCTGCCATGAGCAAGGTATCAACTGATGCACTGGGGCTTTTTGCCATGCTCCTCGGTCAAATGACTTCACGGACAAGCAGTGGGCTGATCCTTGGAGAACATTACTTTACGGGCACAGGAGCCCCTATGTTCGACCTACGTATCGGAGGCCATAAGGACTGGGTTCAGGCTAAGAAGGGTTCAAGTGTACCAGCGCCCTCTCAGTTATCGGCCCACTCGAAGGATGGAGACCACAATGTTCCGTGGTTGAAGCTTGGCTTCGCTGAAGGTTTGGGTATTCGGGTAAGTAGTTTTTTATGCTTTAGCAGCACTTGATTAGGCTGACTGGCATATCAGGAAGTATATCGGGTACACACGTCCGGTGGACAACCGCCAACTTCTTGCAAGGGCCAGAAGGAGAGTTTTGAGGTAGAGTATGCGGCAGAATACTGGTTCTATGGTTGACGAGGTCTGTTCATTTTCGCATCCTTCTTCTTGGACAATGCGTAGCTTGCTCTTCGAATCTATCCTTCGTTTGATTCTCGCAACATATATCCTGCTAAATGGTTGGGGTAGAGTGTTACTGTTCTGTAGTTCATGTCCACACTGCTCAATCTACTTCCAAAATCACGCAGCAATATATTCATCTATTACCTAGTAATAAAACAACGTCGACGGAGAGAAAACCTGGGCGAAATGTTCCAAATGTCCGCTCTTGTTCAAAGAGAGTCATTTACTTCACCAGCTATATATATAAAGAATGTGGGGATCGTCCGAGGTCGGGGTGGAGATAGCGGACAACCATCCGATCTAGTGGGGACGTTGAGCTCGATGGGATCAACACTTTCCGCAATTGAGGAATCCCCAGCATTGAGTCACTGCACGGAACTTTAAGAGTGAATTCGAAAAGTCTGCGAGACATTAACCTCCTCCGCTTTCCACATCCCACATAAGCAAGAACTACTACAGGTGTACCAATGGACACAGCAACAGAAAAACACTACGTCTCAGCAGATAACGCCAGGACATTCGTCCACTCCGTCTTAACAGGCAACGGCGTCTCCCCGGAAAATGCCACCATAATCGCCGACTGCCTGGTCCGGGCCGACCTACGTGGGGTGGACACCCACGGCATCAACCGCATCCCATCCTACATGGAACGCATCCGCCAAGGAGTGCTAAACGCCAAAGCCAACCCCGTACTGAACCAGATCACCCCCGTCGTGGCCCAGGTAGACGGGCAGAACGGATTCGGGTTCGTCGCCGCGCATCTGGGGATGAAGCGGGCGATTGAAATGGCGCGCGAGTTCGGAATCGGGTTCGTCTCCGTCAAGCATTCGAATCATTTCGGGATGTCCGCGTGGGTGGTGCAGCAGGCGCTCGACGCAGGAATGATGAGTCTAGTTTTCACGAATTCGTCGCCTGCGTTGCCTGTTTGGGGTGGGAGGGAGAAGTTGATGGGTGTGTCGCCGTTGGCCTGCGGCGCACCGGCAGGTAAGGAGAAGCCGTTTATCCTGGACATGGCGCCCTCCATTGCGGCGCGAGGCAAGATCTACAAGGCTGCCAGGCGGGGGGAGAAGATTCCCAGCGATTGGGCTCTAGATGGCGAGGGACGGCCTACGGATGACCCGCATAAGGCGCTCGAAGGTGTGATGTTGCCTATGGGAGGGCCGAAGGGGTCGGCGCTCGCGGTTATGATGGATGTATTCTCCGGAGTTCTATCTGGCTCTGCATTTGCGGGACATGTCACTAATCCTTATGACCCTTCAAAACCGGCTGATGTAGGGCATTTCCTCGTGGCGATCAAGCCGGATCTCTTCATGGGCTTGGAAGAATTCAAAGAGCGGATGGATTATCTTTACCAGAGGGTGGTGGGCTCTGAAAAAATGGCTGGAGTAGATCGCATCTACTTTCCTGGGGAGATCGAACAGATCACGCATGAGGAGAGATTGAAGACGGGCATTCCGTATGTCCAAGCAGAAATCGATGCATTGAACAGGGAGGCAGAGAAAGTTAGTGCAAAAAGGGTTGTCATTGATCGGAAATGATTCTGCTACTACAAAGCTTCTAGTCCTTATTTAAAAAGGAAGTACCTCTTACTCGGTATCATTTCGAAAAAACCCTTCAAATGTTCGTGTGAGACATGCTAAGCACAGGCGCTATGTCACTTCGACAGATGCAGAGTAATTCAGTCGGAAGTTGTACCTCAAGTCTCATGGAACTAGGAGTTGTCAAATCAGAGCCAAATCATTGCCACCTTGCCAATCATGAAATAGTATAAACTATCAAAGTTCAATTGTTGAGCTGTTATGCCAGATGATCACATGACCCCATGAGTGTGGCGCAGTACATGCAAAATTGAAATGCTCTCAAAATTGCCACAATCCCTTCTATGGTGCCATGTCAGAAGCTCCAAGCCTGCCAGGGTTCAAGCTCTTCGCTGTCAGCTGTTGACTTTTCGGACGTTCCGGTTAAGCTCGTAGACTGCGGCGACTCCTTGGGGAAGCAAGCATTCCTACTCTTAGGGCGACAAAGATGTGACGCCACGCGATATGTCATAGTCACATGATCTGTTCCCGACTGGGAAACAAGCCACAGCTTAACTGTACTGCGCGTGAACTTCAGCGCGTCGTCTTCAGCTATTGACAGCTCACTGTCCGGATTTTTTTCACTCATATTTTCATCAACCCAATTAGCTCATTTTCATTCTGCTAAGCGCAGTATGCCAATTGCCTAATTTGTAACAATTACACCCTGTCACCACTAAGCGCAAAATCTCGGTTCCGCCTGTCCTCGACGTTGACGTCCGAGCCCAACAACACAACACTTACCATCACCGCTCAACACCCTTCAAAATGACCACCGATTACAGCAAGAAAACAAACGCGGAGCTAGTGGAGATTCTTAAATCTCGCTCGCTCCCTCACACAGGCAAAAAGGCAGAGATGGTCGCTCGCCTCCAGGAAGACGACGAAAACAAAGCCAAGGCCGCATCGGCCCCTGCCCCTACTGCAAAGACTGACGCGGCCGACGACGTCATCGACTGGGAAGACGATGATGTTCCCGCTGCAGATACTACCGCCGTGAAGCCTTCTACTGAGGCTGGCGCCGCTGCCATTGCTGCTGGCGGCAAAGGTGCGGTCGCCAACCCGGTCGCTGTTCCAAATCAGAAGCTCGACACCAACCCCGCTACTACGGACGATTTGAAAGTCGAGTCGAAGGGCGCAGCACCGTCGGCTGAGAGTGGAGCGCAAGGGCACGAGGGCACGGAAGGCGCGCCAGCTGAACCAGCCACTGCGGCCCCGGCCGAAGAAAAACCGGCACCAGACTATTCTATGGGGCTGCCCATCACCGAGATGGAGGAGGAGTTGAAGAAACGCAAGGCTCGCGCGGAGAAGTTTGGTGTTACCGAGGAGTCCAAGACTGCAATTGCGGAGGCAGAGAAGCAACTCGAGAGGGCGAAGCGGTTCGGAACGGCGGTTCAGCCTACTCCTGCTAGCGGTGTCAAAGGTCTGGACGAAGCTCTCCCGACAGAGAAGTCTCGCAAGAGAGGTCGGGGTGATAATGAACAAGCATCACGGGGAGGCAAGCGACGTGATGTTGGCGGCAGAGGCAAATTCCGAGGAAAGGGCCGTGGAAATCGAAACCAGAATCACCGGAATGAAGGAAATGCTGGCAAAACTAGCGAGCAGAGTAACATGAGTGAGAAAGATCGTCTGGCCCTGGAAGCCAGAAAGAAGCGATTTGCGACTGCGGCATAGTGTCGGGTATGCTGATACTTCCATCCAAACTGTACTCCATTTCATCATCTACCTCCCTTTTTCGCTTTGTTTATTTTCAATTTGCTGGCGTTACGGGAATATCTACAAGTGGAATATTATTTCGTTCACGATGAAGTTGAGGCATTGTGACGTAGTGAAGAACCAAGTAATAGGCTCGATTACTGGATCAAAATATTGGTACCATGGAATTTATTAAGATGTATAATAATCAAAGGAAAAAGCGTCAAAGAGCCCATTTGTCCAAATGCTCTACATCAGCGTTCATGGTCCAAGACCGAAGAAGGACAATAGACAGACGCAATTGAAGAGTTGAGATGCTGCGCCGACCGAGTCAGCTGAAAAGTGCATTAGGCCCGTTTCTAGTCCGCCAGTGCGAGTCGTTCCTGCAGCAAACCAGCGCCTTCGACACTCAAAATACGCGGCTGATCTCGAATGATCGCGACGATCGGCAGCCTCTCTGTTCTTGCAGCCAGAGCACGAGGCTTCAAGCCACCATCAGAATCCTCGTATCATTGAACGCCTTGAGAATCTCGTACGCTCTGTCTTCTGTCTTGCTCCTCTCCACTTTGCATGCGATTTTTTTTAAACTGTAACCAACAACTGCAAGAATGTACAGGCAACTCCGTGATCGTATATATGGATGGGCTACTTTTTGACCTCAAGCCGGCTCCTGTGAGCACGCTTGAATTGCCGCCGTCTCCACTGGCATCCCGAAGTCAAGGCCACTACAAAAGGTCATTGCTTTTTCCCTCTGACGAATACGGTTATTTGAAAAGTCCCTTGTTTCGCCATCGTTCTCAATCCAGGTGGATAAACCGTCATTGCCCCGCGTCTCGTTCGTCCGTTAAGTATTCCAGTCAATCACAGTCTTCACACAAGTACGAAAATCGCTGCCTTGCCTGTTTAGCGGCGGATCAGCGACTCCACAAATTCCGGGTCCAAATTTCCAAAGCCATAGATGGTGTCAGTCCAATCAAGGTCCATATCCACAAGGTCGCCAATTTGGCTTCAAGCCTCACCTCTCGTCGGATGGCGTTTGTACACAGTCAATGGCTGGCTTGAGGACTGTTCAACCGAACTCTCTGACATTGTCCGTTACAATTGTGGACCATGTTTTTCGGAGGTAGGTTCTCCGTTTCTCGTCCTTTGTTCTCCTATCCATGGTTGTGTAAAAGGGACGGGGCGAACCTTGCACCGATGCCATAGAACATCAGAATCGGCAGAATGATAACATAATGGGAAGTGTATCTGCTGGAAACCATCATTATCATCATCATCATGCCATGTTCATTGGCAGGTCTCCTACCATATGCAAGAGTTACCAGGAGTGCGAATAGTAGTGAAGATGTCGAACTGTGTTACTCTGTAGAGCCAAGCGCGCCCAGTCGAGAGCATGCCTTTGAGCTTGCCAATGATCGACAAGGCTTTGGTAACGCCATATCGGCCTCGCCGGGGACACCTTGAGGCATAACTAATCTTCTTAGTGCGTGCTGTAGTAGACTAGATACTGCGAGGCAGACCAACAGTGGCAGAGACGCAGACTGGTCAGTGACCACCACATGACTTGCACACTAATATCCACCCACAGCTAAGAAAAGAAACTCCCCCAAATCATCCGATACTAGTCCGATGAAGTTCATCAATCATCGTCCAACATCCAGATGTACGACGGTCAAGGCCAAGCAAGAATTATGAAGGCTTTCATGATTTGATCAGCCAGCTTTGTTGCTCTGCTGCTAGTCCGTACCTACAGGATTGATCCAGTGACTTAACTGATGTTCTTTACGATCAGGACTCCCCGATCAGGAGGACTGCGCGCACGAAGAGCATTCCGCTATCTCCGCCACTCGACTCCATCTCAACCTGTCAAGTCATTCCGCTCACTGCGCTCCCCATTAATATCGCAGATTCTCAAGGCAAACGGACAGGATCCAAAAGTGGGCCCTTTTTCGATACTTCCATCCAGATGCCTGATACTGTGCACGATCCCGTCACCAACTGCTAAAAAGTGCTCTACATTAATTTCCATTTGCTCTACTAAAAAAGCCGCTTCTCGACAGATTTAGGATATGCGAGGCTTTAGCTTTTCTAAAGCGAAGTTTTGCAACCCATTCGCCAATGATTGTGCTGGTCACATCGGATCTCGAAGATAGACGCCAACGTCGATCGCACAATTCGCATCACATTTACCCGTTCTAGCCATCCCCTATGGACTGCACTTCGACATGCTATTATTGAAATTCCTCGTCCCCCACTTAATTTCTGCAATACAAAAAAATCTTCTGATTGGCCTGTAAAATCTCCTTTCTCGGGGGTCAAACCCTTCAAAAGCAGATTTGCAGTAATTCTTGGGGAACCCTGTTCCTAGGTCAAATATCATTTTCCCCCCTCCTTTCTTACCTGACTGTCATTTTGTTCTCTTCTTTTCCCTTTCCTATTTTCGTCCTACGCAGCTGGTCTCCTTTGCATAAGTTTCCTCATCACTCATCGTATCTTTCTTGCCTTCTCTGACGTGTTCGTGCAGCTCCAGCTCAACCTGTTTGACAGTTTAGCCACGAGTGACTCGGTATTGTGGCGAAGCAGCTGCAATGTCCTGATCGACTCAACTATAGTTTGACAGCTCAATTTTAATCTACAATTTTTTTTCCCTTCTACTTACCTTTTTTTTTTTTTTTGGTTCATTCTATATTTTATACCTTCATATGCCTTCCTGTCGCTTTATCAACTATTACCACATTGAATCACGGTCCTTGTTGCACTGCAAGCTTCGCGATTAGTACGACGTATTGCATCTTTTTGCTTGAGCGTTTGATATTGTCGTTTCGCTACTCCATACCAGCGGTAGATACCCCTGTTCTCGCGGTCTGTTTGCATACTTCAAACTATTCACTGGATAACGCCACATTACTTTTGTTTTCGAGGTCAAACAGGATGCAATAGAAGGAGTAAGTATGGGCACCGTAATCGGCTTTTGAACAATGCTTACAGGAAACACGAGTTTGCAGCTTTTTATATAGCGGGGAAGAACAACTTCTAGGCGGAATGAATCCATACCTTTCTCCTCTTCCTTTCGATTCTGAAACGTTGGTCTTCGGACTGGAGCCGGATTTCAAAGTCGGGTTGTACCATGTCGTCGTACAAATTCGAGGGCGGTCGTATCCCCAGGCTGAAAGATCCTACCTCCCAGCGTCGAAACGGGGCATTTCTGGTGATGAACTCCTCTTCTAGAACCTATGGCCATTCTGCATTACCCTCGAGGGTTCAAATTTCGAACTCAATGGGCCCAGCAGCAAGAAATAACAGATCATCGTCCTTTTCAGATGCAGAAGAAGCTCGCAGAGTGCAAGCCTCTGTAGCTGCTTCGCGGACTTCGTCCACTAGCGGTGTCCATATGTCGTTACTTCCCCGAGCGAACACTCATCCATCACCGTCAGATTTACCCCCTTCCACTCCGGCACCTCAAACTCAACCTGTGCTACGTCCGGCCAGTCCTACGGTGGGGACCCACGTCTCGGAATTCACTAGCAAAAGACCACCGAAAGTGCTGCGTCGCAGAGCACCCACAATTGGTCGGCAGAACGAAATATACGGACTCAAGGCAACATCGGCGAGACCTGAGAAACTGAGTGTGATCATTCCAAGCAGTGCTACCCCCGATCATGTTGCGAATCCTGCTTCCCAACCGTCATCAGATCAAGCAATACAAGCGAGACACAAGCCGTCGCCTATTTCTTCGCACTCGAGGTCTGCAGGCAAAGCAAGGGCACAACCAGTGGACCAAGGGCCCAGTGAATTCGCTAGTTTACGAACTACAGTCAACACCCAAAATCTACCTCCTCCGACCCCTATCTTTACATCGGCCAGCAGCCCCTCGACAAGATACTCTGGTTCTCCGGGGATATGGAGCAGGACTTCAACTCCCACCTCGCTGTCCTCCTATTCCCCTGGGATTATTCATTCCGCGAAGGTCGGTCCTCGCTTCAGGCACCCGAGCCCTTCCGAGTCTAAACTCCCCATCTTCTCACCTACAATGCAGAAGTCCCACTCACAAGATGATCCATTGGATTCAGCTGGCGACGGATTTCCAGGCATGACCGCTGGCGCAGGGTTAAGCGCATTGTCAACGTCAACGAAAAATCATTTCGATAATCCTCCCAACAAAGATGGTTCCACAAAGCCTGCTGCGCCGACTGGAAATCAACTGCCACTTAAAACATCGACAAAATCCAGCCTCCCGAGAATGACCAGACCAAACCATACGGAAAATTCAGAGACATTCAAGGAGCAAAGAAGTTGTGCCGCAGGGGATCCGGGGAATCTCACAGCATCAGTATTGAAAGACGAGGTCAGTGGTTCAGGGCATGTACCTTCAAGGCCCAGTAGAGAGGGTACTCACCGGTTAGAGCTTGAACCGTCACCCGTGATCCGTAGCAACCTCCCTCCTGGCGCTGTGGCGAGTCACAGGAGACACGGATCCGGAGCTAGCTCCGTCGCGTTGGGGAGAAGTCATTTGGTCACAAACGTCTCCGCAGGCACCTCCGTCGATTCGTTGCAGTCAAGGTCTTCTACCCGACGACCCTCACTCATACCTAGCTCACCCGAATCAATGCGCAAATCGCCGCGGACTTTAATAAAAGAACCTAAGACAAAGCAGGATGCGACGAGCCCCGCGAAATCGCGGCGATACGGTCTCTTTTCAAAGAAGTCAAAGTCTGACATGGAAGTACAAAAGCTCGGGGATCGACACACCCGCAAGGGCCCAGCAGCTGGGACAGGCCATGAGGGTTATGGAAGGTATGCACAGCGTGGTCGGAAGGCAACTGCAGGCAGCAACAGCGATACGAGAGCAAGGTCAACGAGCACCAACCGCAGCACACCGCGATCGGTATCCAGTACCAAGGCAAGCGTTAAAGGTCGACCAGATCTGGATCTCGATGATTTTCTGCTGGATCGTCTAGAGCCTGTCTTCATCACTGGTG